TATGGACCTGAATTCCTGGGTATTTCATCAGATGACTCTAGGGTCCCAGATCTCCACCCAGCCTTCTATTACCAGTTTTGGTTGCTGGATGTGCCAGAAAAATACATACTATTTGTTCCTAAAATGGCCTGTGGAGTCTGTTGTGACCTTTCTCCTCCTTATCTGACCCTTGGCCATCCAAGTGTGAGATGTTAATCTAAAAGAAGTAATCCAATTATCAAAAATAGCCTTGGTAGTAGGTTACAGAGATGGCTTAGCAATTACAAGCACTTGTTAGAGGAGCTGGGTTTAAATCCAAGCACCCACATAGTAGCTCACAATAGTTTGTAAGTCCAGTTCTATGGGGTCTCTGCTTCTGACCTTGATTGGCTCCTCCACACGTGTGGTACACATTCATACACTCAGGCGCACATACACACACCTAATATAAAATGCATTTTAAAAATAGTCCTCTTGGGACTGGAGAGATGGCTCAGCAGTTAAGAGCACTGACTACTCTTCCAGAGGACCCATGTTTGATTTACAGCACCCACTGGGAGCTCACAACTGTCCATAACTGCAGTTACATGGATCAAATGCCCCCTTCTTTCTTCCTTGGGCATCAGGCACACAAATGGCAAATAGGCATATGTGGAACTCTGCTGGATAAGGTTGAAGTCTGACATTTTCATATAGCCTCTGTGCTCTGTCTATGATGGTGGACTCCTTTTTCTCAGTGGGGTGCCCTCTCTAAACCCTAAAAACCGATAAGGAACATCATATATCTCTCAGGGAAGATTACAGGCTGGGGGACCTTCCCTGATAAGCACTGGGGGATTCCTGGAGATACCCACCCTCTGCTAATAGTGACCTTTGACTTCACCTGGAATTCTTCCCCCACCATAGGATAATTAAGTACTGCCTTTCCCTCTTACGATAGGACTGTTTTGGTACATGTAGATTAGGTATTCCTGGCACCCCTGACCCCGGCAAATCAGACACATTTGCCTTCAGAACTCCTCCCACCGCCCAAGGTTTATATTGCCCTTGATTTCACACAAAATGATCACATGCTCTCTCTCACTTCAAGACTGTCTGAGATTCTTTTATTCTGGGAAAGAATCACTGATGGATGACTGAACTTGGCTGCCAATTAAGCAGCTACCTGCCTGCAGCCTTGAGTATCTGGACAGCCAGGGGCTTGACTCCTGTAGGTTGGCCGACCACGTGCTATCGTGCTTCACTGCTTTGGCAGCCATTTTATGTGTGTCCCATAGGACCTGCCTTCTGGCTGGTTTCGGGCCTCCGCCGTGCTTAGTACAGCAACTTAACCAAGGGACGGTAACACTCTGGTATTACCATCGTGTTGGGAATGCCCAAGCTTCCACTGTCCACTGCCACCACCAATCTCTTTTTAAAAGAACTTACTAAGCAGGGCAGTGGTGGCACAGGCCTTTAGTCACAGCACTAGGGAGGCAGAGGCAGGAGGATCTCTGAGTTCCAGGCCAGCCTGGTCTACAGAGTGAGTTCCAGGACAACCATGTTTATACAGAAAAACCCTGTCTCGAAAACCCAAGACAAAACAAAACAAGAGCTAAGTAACTGTAACACTCCATGGAAAACTCTTTCAACACCCTGGCCTAGTGCACTGGCCTCTCCCTAATGTGCTCTAACTGTTCCTGGGAGGCCCAAGACCTTTGATCTTGTTCCAGTCCAGAAGCCTGGACTTCCAGCCCAGCAGGATCCTGCAGTTCCTGTGCCAGGCCTGGCTGCAGCAGCTTGGGGGAATGTCAGCCCACAACCGCTTCCTGACCACTCCAGCCCTGTCAATCAAAGAAGGACAGACGGCCCAGGCCCCTGCCAAATGGAGAATGACAGACATACATGAACCCAAAACACCCTCAGGCTATTTTAATCCTTTCTTTCCCAATTCTTGCCACTAATCTTGCTTCCTCTGGACATTTTATGGAGTGGAATCATAAAATAAATGATCCTTATTGATTGGTTCCTTTCACTTAGCATTTTGCTTTCAAGGCTCACCTATGTGTAATGTGTATCTGTTCTTCATTCTTTCTTATTGCTGAATAATGCTCCACCATTTGCAGCTTTTTACCTGTTAGTAGATGTTCAGGTTCTATGCACATCTTGGCTATTACATTATTCTCTCAGCATTATCTTCCCAGTTCACACAACAATATTTCTTGAACATTCAATGGCTTTTCTAGCCAAAAGCTCTTCAAATTCTCTACTTTTCTCCCACGGAACTGTCCAAGATTTAACACTAACTAAAAACAAGCTGGGGGAGGAAAGGGTTTATTTCATCTTACAAGTTACAGTCAATCATCTTGAGAAACTGAAACAGGATCTTGAGACAGGAACCTGGAGGCAGGAACTAGGGCAGAAACCACAGAGAAGCATTGCTTATTAGAGGGTTCCCCTAAGGTTTGCCCAGCTTTCAATTTTATTCAAAGGGTGGCAGTGCCTATAGAGAGCTGGGCCCTCACATATCAATTATTAATAAAGAAGATCATCACTTTAAGTTTCTCTTTCCAGGTGATGCTAGATCATGTCAAGTTGACTAAAACTAGCCAGCTAAAGCAGAATATTAGGTTTTATAAGAGACTTTTTTTTTTTTCTTGGCTCTATATGCAGAAGTGGAATTGCCAGGTCATATGGTAGCTGTTTTAAGTGAGGACATTAATAGGATTGTGCAACAGAGTTACATGGCAGGTTCACAAATCATGCCACGTGACTGGTTCCACGTAGGAGGTTTATTAAGGGAAGGGGAAAGGGAAGGGAGAGAGAAAGGGGAAGGCAAGGGGAAAGGGAAGGAGGAACAGGTCACAAAGACAGTCTCTGGGCAGGGCAGGAGAGCAAGAGAGAGAGGAGGAGCTTCGAGTTCTCTTAAAAGGTGACCCAGAGCATGGGCAGGTTGTTCCAGGTGTCCATAGGTGGCCTCACAGATGCCTGATATCCAGTTTGTTAGGTCCCTTGGGGCTGGCCGTAGAGGTGGCTGCTTACGGATCTCCACAGACAGGACAACTCCAAGGTATAGTTGAGGTGAAGTAGATATGAGGGAAAGTACAGCCAGAGACATCTGTAAAAGTTCAGAGCAGGAAGAGAAAATAGATTAAACATGGCCAGTAGACTGAACTGGGCCAACAGAGGAGAGAGAAGGGAGAGAGAGAAGAGAGGGAACAGAGAGACCAAAAGATAAATTAGCAGCTATTATTAAGACCTGAAGTAGGTAAGTAAAGAAGTCTAGTAATGCCCTGAGGGGAAGAGCCACCTCACTGCATTCTTTCGCCACCCACTAGAGATACAGATGCTAGGAAACTGGACTCTCCCCCTACGGAGGGACACCAGGTCATTATGGTCTGGGAACCTTCCTATAGCCAATCGATTCAAAATGTAGCATTTTGACCAATAGATGCTTGCCAGGCAGGAATTGTCCCTGCCTTGGGCATGCTGGGAGGGACCAGAATCTTTAAATGACCCAACTAACCTGGGCATGCGCGCTCGGCTCCCACCGTTTCGGCGGTGGGTGTGTGTGGGCCCAAGCTACAATATACAATATTGTATATTGTAATATACAATAAAAAGAACCTCATGTATTCACAGCGGAGTCTAGTTATTCCTGGTCTTTTGGGGTTCATGAACTGGGCAGAACAGAGGGAGGGAGGAAGAGGGAAGGAGAGGGAGAGAGAACAAAAAAAGAGATGGGAGGCATCAAAGGAAGACAAGAGAGAGGGGCAAAAGAGAGGGTATCAAGAGAGCACATGTCGGGGTTATATGGGAATGAGAAACTGGGCGAAGTGAGCTGGAGGATATTGAATAAAAAGCTTGGGGCCAGAGAGCAAGAAAAGATTAGGGTAGGGGACAGGGTGGTGATGGTGGGGTGGTGAGAAAAGCTGAGAAAAGCCACAGGTGCCTGGAGGCCAGCAATCGCATTACTATGCTCACAGGCACCACAGAGACATAGTAGCCTAGTCGCCTTAGTTTCTTTTGGGCCTCACTGTAGCAATGCTACATTTTTTCCCCCCAGAGAGACTGCAGCGCTTTACATTCCCACCTGCAGTAGGTGAAGAAGTTCCGATTTTTCTGTAGCCCAGCCAACATTTATCCTCTTTATTATAGCCAGTCTATATTCCATTGTTATATTAACCGTCCTTTGTCAATGGAAAAAGGTTGAGTTGTTAGGGATTGGAAACAAGACTGGACAAAATGCCTAGATTCAAGTGTGGGTCCTTTAGTCACATAACGCAAACAGAAGATTGACACCATGATCTCCCTCAAAGAAGCTTGTATGAAAGTTTCTCTTTCGTTACACTGATACCTCACTACAACCGGCGGCAGCGTGACCCCGGGGATAACTTTTGCTCAGCAGGGCCTGCTCTTTTGTTCCCCCCCTTAGATACTAGTTCTTATTCTGACTTGGGCAATAACCCACAGAAGCCGCTGGGCTTCGTTTAACTACACCTCTCCTCCTGGGCTGAGAAGTGGGCCTTAGGGCCTTCGAGAACAAGGGGGTGGGCGATGGAGGAAACTACAATACCCAGGAGTCCACACGGTGCTGGCCGCAGTCGGCGCTTAATTCTGGCCGACAGCACAGCGCCCTCGCCGGTGCATTATAGTTAAAACCTAGAGGCAAGTCATCTGCGCGCATGCACGCTCAAGTCCCAACTAGTTTAGCTTCTATCCTGCCAGCAGGCCCTTTTCCGGTCCGGCTGACACAGGCTTTTCCCCGCCCAATTCTCGGAGTCTGGAGAGGGTGGGGCTCCGGGAAAGCGCGTTCACAGATTTTAATACGGAGGTGACTAAGCTTTGGGTGTGGAAGAGCGGGTAGGGGACAGAGCGCATGCGTCCTGGCGGCTCGGCCGGCTTCTGTGAATGACAGGGACAGGGCGGAAGTGGCTGCCGGGCTGACGCACGCGCATTGGCTGCCTGTGCCCATCCGGAAGTGGAGCGGCCGCCCTGCGGCAGGCCCCGCCCCCGCCCCGCCTCCCTGCTCCCCGCCCCCTGCTCGCTTAGGTGGCGCCGGCTTGCGGCCGGTGTGGCGGCGGTGTTGGTGCTGGAAGCCCGAACAGGCGCGCTCCCTGGACGGGCGGCGGGGCTATGGTCACCGGCTCCCGAAGGCCCGCTCCGCATCTCAGCCCGACCTTGAACGCGAGCCTGAGCCTGAGCAGTCTCCTCAGCCCAGTCCCCTGGCGCGTTCGGCTGCTCCCCGGGCGCGCCCCCTCCGATGGCGACGGAGATCCAGCCCCAGCCGCTGACCCGCAAGCCGATCCTGCTGCAGCGGGTCGAGGGGTCGCAGGAGGTGGTTAACATGGCGGTGATTGTGCCTAAGGAGGAGGGTGTCATCAGCGTCTCGGAGGACAGGTACTGACTGGTTGCCTCTGGGCCGCGCGGAGGTCGGGCTTGGGCTCGGTGGGAGTGGAGACCGTGCCTCCGAGTTCGGTTCCGAGCGCGGCGGCCTCTGCCTCGGCACCGGCTCCTCGCGCAGTCCGAGTGGCTCCTGGGCTAACGGTGCACGGGACACCAGACCTGGGTCCAGCTTCTATGGGATGGGAGGGGCAGGGGGAGGAGCCGCACGGCCTTGCAGGTGTGTTAGCTCGGAGGAAGACTGCAGCGCCGAGATGATTTAGTTGTCCAGCTGTTGGTTCCCCAAACGAGATGGAAACCCACTGCTTTCTTCCCATACAGTCCCCCGCACCGCTGTTATCTTCAGGACATCATTCACCGAACTCATGGACAGTTAAATTGTGAAGAGAATAACTTTGGGCTTCTGCGTGTTGCGCCTTTCTTTCCTAAAAGCTGATGTCTGGAAGTTCGCAAGGGATCACTTTTGCAGACAGCTGCTTGAGTTCCTTCCCTCGCCTACTTCCTTTCCGTTTGCTCAGTTAGCAGAAGTAGCTCTGGCTGTTCTGCCTTCAGTATTCTGCTTTGCATTGCGTTTTTGATTTCCAGAGGAATTCCGCTTCAATATAGGAACTAGGGCGATAGATCTGAAATTACCACTTAGGTAATATCTACAAGCGTTATGGTAGAGGTATGTGGCTGTCTGGGTTTTTAGCTTCAGTCAACTTTCTTAATATAAGTTGGTGCCATGCTGAGGTAGAGTTTTCTTCCATGACTCTGAAAATTGCCAAGGTAGAGCAAAAAGTTTTCAGTTTAAAAACAAATACTCATATCAGCATTTCCAGTAATGTTAACTTAAACATTTTTACTTGATTTATTTCTTAGGCTCTTGAATGTAACTAGGAAGACTATTACTTGTGTATATTTCATATCCACATCAGCATCATGCTTCGTATAAAAGGCGCCTGCTTCATTTCCTATGCTGATCCACCGGGAAAAATTGCCAACATATGTTAATGGCAGTCAGTCCAGGAAGAACAGAAGAAATTGAGTGACGTGGATTCATAAAGAAGTCTTATGACAGTGTTTTAAGTTTTTTCCTTTAGTGCAATATGCTTAGACTGCACTTCTGCACTTAAATTTTTTTTGTCAAAGAATATATTGAAGGGATATATTGATCAAATGTCCCTTTTCATTAGTAGAGATGAAATTGATTCCTAATTTGTAAGCAATTCATAAGTTCATTAAATCAAGTCAAAGGAGGAGAAAGGTTGTCAGGCCGCAGCTTCATCATGTTAGTTTTGAAATGTCTGATTGCCATGTCCATGTAATCTCCTTGAAGAAAACAGCTTTAGTGGAGGTAATAGTTCAGTGTCCAGAGAAGCTAAAAGTATATGTGGAAGAAAGTGAAGAGCAAGTTTTGTTTCACCATAGGACAAAGCAAGTGCAATGTTTAATCTTTCACTTTCCTAGTTTGCAGTGTACATAACAGAATTTATCTTACTGTGTGGTTACTGTTAAACAGGTCCCTACAGGAATTCTCGGTCCTTGTCTCTGTTAATTTCATTATTCAGCTTGGCAAGTCTATGCTTCTTTGGGCCACTCGACCATGAAAGTAACTCTTGTGAAGCAGTTTTAGGTATGGTTTTCACTAAAAGAATCGATCTGTCTTCTCGCTTTTCAAAGGCAATGTTAGTGTCACTTGATCTAATGCTAAAAACAGGAAGACAGAATATTGATTTTCACCAACACTTACAAAACCATTACCATTAGTTGCGTTGCCAGTCATCACTGATCCGTGAGGGTCAGCTGCAGATAGTGCCTTATGGCATTGTACTTAGGAAATCCCACTTCCCTTTTTCCAATCTGACTCATTATAGCCTCTATCTGTATGCTTAACATTTTTTGTTTGTTTGTTTGTTTTAAACAGTTCTATTTCTGTGTCTGTCTGTTTTGTCTTCTCGGTGTTCTCTAGGGATCTTTGTATATCGTACTGATTATAGGGAGCTACGTGGTACCTGGCACACAGGACGCCCTCATTCTTTGTATCAGTGACTGATGTCGGATCTCCCTCCACCCCATTTCTGAAAGTCATGGCACCTTAACTCTTCTGAATTAATTGTTATTTGGGTGACTTGTGAATACCTCATATAAACAGATACACATCTATGGGGGAAGGATTGGACTAGGTGGCCTTTGACACTTGAAAACTGGGAAGTCCAAGCATTGCTTCATTTGTCAGACAGGGACGTTAAGTTCTGTGTGTTCTCATTGTGTGTGTTCATGACAGTGATGATAATGACCGAGTCTCTTCAAGGGGCTCACAGTTGAGTAGCAGAAATTTTAGAGTATAGCTTTTGTTTTGTGTACGTTTATGGTTCTGGGCAAGCACTCCACCACTGTGTTGCACCCCCAGGCCAAGAATATTGTGTAATAAAACAAAACCATTACATTTAAGATACAGTATTGAAAAGAGACCTTTCAGATGGGAAGAATGGCTGGGCTCCACAGCCCTTCTTGTTCTCCAGATCTCTTTTCCTGTGGAGGATTGTTACACTTGAAGTACATTTTCACTCTCAGCCTTCCCTCACTAGCAAGCTGGTGGTTCTCAAATCTTCAAGCTAAAGAGTAGATGGAAGAAACCTTTGCTTTCTTGTTCTCTGTTGCACAGTTGGGACAACTTGGAACTTTAGCTGCTATCAAAAGAGGAAATGTAGGGAAAATAAGAAATATAAAGACAAACTGAGTTGCCAGTAAAGCTTTCTGCCCTGATGTAGGAACTGTTCCCAGAGCTCACTGGCCTTGCAGAGACTTTGGCTGTAACTAAATTCTAGTCACATAGGTTACACCAAACTGTGGGGTCTCAGGTCCCTTATTTCTTTGCTCCTTCTCAGGCTGCCCTTTCTGGGCTAATGGGGTTTCAATGGATCTTGCTGTTTAAGAGGTTTATTCAGACACTGGAGAGATGGCCCTGTGGCTAAGGACACTTGCTGCTCTTGCAGAGGACCCTGGTTTTTTTATTTTCAGCACCCAAATGGTGGCCCACTCCTGCCTGTAACTCCTGTTCCAATGGAGAAATGGATCTGATGTTCTTTTCTGGTTTCCGCAGGCTCCAGGCATTTATGTGGTACACATTCATACACGCAAGCAAAACACTAATACATACATGCAAAATAAAAATAAATAGCCGGGTGGTGGCGGCAAATACTTTTAATCCCAGTTTGAGATACAGAGGCAGGTGGATCTCTGAGCTTGAAGCCAGCCTGGTCTAGAGTGAGTCCTAGAACATCCAGGACATCCTAGAACACAGAGAAACCCTGTCTCAAAAAACCAAAATAAATAAATAAATAAATAAATAAATATTAAAAGAGGGAAAACACAGGTTGAAAAATAGCATCATCTCAGACGGGTGTGCTCTGTTTTGATCAAGACTTTGTAATTTACAAGGGGCTTGATCTTTAGTAGAGCCTCAGGTGAAGAAAGCCTCTGGTTAGGTATCACCCAGCCCTCTTCAGATCCTTATCTTAGATTTCTGTTGCTGTGATAAGGACCATAACCCAAAGCAACTTGGGGAGGATAGGGTTTATTTCAGGCATGAAGGGAAGTCCTGGAGTCAGCAATTGAAGCAGAGGCCGTGGAGCAGTGCTACTTACTGGCTTACTCTCCCCAAAGCTTGTTCAGCCTGCCTTTTTCTACAGTCCAGGACCTGTCCAGGGTCACCACACCCAGAGCGGGTAGGCCGGACTCTGTCATATCAACCATTAATTAAGAAAATGCCCTCACAGACTTGCCCACAGGCCAGCCTGGTGGTGGCATTTTTTCCATTGAGGTTTCCTCTTCCTAGGTGATTCTAGCTAGCATTTTTTCCATTGAGGTTTCCTCTTCCTAGGTGATTCTAAGCAGCACCCCTTCCTGAGGTCATTCTATACATACTTTAACCCAGGACAGCTGTCTCACCACACAGAGCCTCAGTGATGAGGTATTTCTGTTAGTTATTGGAAGCTGATGTTGTCCTCCACTGGCTGGTCAGAGGAGTACAGTGCTCTCGTTTTCACGAGAGTGCTGCAGGATAAATAGGAGTTAGGAGAACAAAACTAAGCCAAGCCTGCTGGTGCAGCTACTCCAGAGGCTGCTTGGGCTCAGGGTTAGGGTTAGGGTTACATGTTCAAGCCACTACAACAGCTCACGGAGACGCATTCTCAAAATGAAACAGTGGAGGACAGGGCCAAGGGTATGTTGTGGCAAAGCCCTTGCCTAGTATGCCCAGAGCCTAGTGATCCCGAAAGCAAGAACAAAATCTGTGGTAGAGGAAAGGGCATTTTAGATAGTGGGGTGAAAGAAACAAGCACCAGGTAAGACTGGAGCAGCCTGCTAGTCAGAACTCAACTCAGAGTGTCGCCATACTTCAAGGAGTCTGGAAAACGAGTGTCTCCAGAGGAAAAACCAGAGCCAAAACGGGCAAGAAAAGAAAAAGATTACTGAAAGACCTGGGTGCAAGTATTTGGAATTCTTTTTCTGGATAAAACAACTCCTGGAAACGGGTAGGGATGGAACCTGTGTCAGAGAGAGTCTGAGGGTTCCTGTTGCTGTGATGAAACACGATGCCAAAAGTATCTCGGGGAGGAAAGGTTTTATTTGGCTCACTGGTCCAGTCACAGTCCATCATTGAGGGAAGTCGGGGCAGGAGCTCCAGGCTGGAACTGAAACAGAGACTTGGAGGAGCATTGCTACTGGCTTGCTCTCTCTGCCTTGCTCAGCTTGTCTTCTTATACCACCTGGGGCCACCAGCCTAGGGGTGGTACTACAGTGGGCTGGGCACTTTCCCATCACTCATTAATTAGGAAAGTGCCACATAGACACGTCCGTAGACCAGTCTGATAGAAGCAGTTCCTCAATTGAGGTTTCCTTTTCCCACTTGACCCTAGTTTGTGTCAAGTTGACCAAACCAACTAGCACAGAGAGGTTAGGTACTGGAAATGGGACCCTGGGGAACTCCCTCATACTTTCACTGTTCAGACCCA